TTGAAACAAGTACGGGCGCGGCAGGTTTACAATTGCGAAGGCAAAAAAAAAAACACGTACTCACCCTCCCCCCTTCTGTATACCCCGTTCTGTATACGTCCGAGTGAGCACAGGGCTAATTTGAAACAAGTATGGAGTGCTTCGGGACAACTGTTAAAATTGGAACGATAGAGAGAACTTAGACAAGATTAGCATGGCCCCTGCGCAGGGATGACACGCATAAATCGAGAAATGGCCCAAATTATAATTAAAAAAAAAAAAAAAAAAAAGACGCGGCAGCTTTTCAGTTTGCAAAGGCCAAAAAAAACACGCGCCTGCAAAGATATCAAGGAGCCAGTTTGAAACGGCAAATTGGGAGCATCAAGAATTATTGGAGGCGGAAATCTCCACCTCAGATCAAAGGACGGCCGACATCTCTTGGTTCTTGGCAAGGTCCAGGACGGNCGAGGCCCAAATCCTTCAACCTTTTTTTTTTTTTTTTTTTTAACAAAAAAAGCCCTTGCGTAAGTCCTCTATCCTGGCAGTGGTAAGAGAACCGTCAGAATTTATCTGTTGGGCTGCTCCATCTAATGGTGGGGAGCGGCACCTGCTGGAAACCGGGTCCAGCGTCCCCTTGATACATCTTGTAGCACAGAGATTGCTGCTTCTTGTTTCCTGGGGCTGTGGCCATTTTTGTCTCAGCCCGGGGCTCCGTTGTCCCATGGAGCTGCTAGTATCATCCATCCCTTCTTGGAGCACCCCTTATCTATTACCTCAGCCCTATTTCAGCAGCCCCCCTGTTCGATTACTGCTATGTCTGTCTGTTTATAGTTTAAACCCTTTAAACCCTATACCCTCTCAAAACCCATGCACAACATATTCGCGATCCTTGAGTGAGTGTTACTTGGAGACACAGCTGGCTCTTCCATGAGGTCCAGTCCCTTTGTCCTTTGATGCATCCAGAGGATGGAGAAAGCAACCTGGCCACTCTGTGTAGTCATGTATGGTAGATGTCTATCCCCTCCTCCCTCACCATTCAACAACACTCCTGCAGATTGTCGCCTGCAGGTCTGCATTCCCCTGTCTTTTGCTGTTGTTGAGATCCAGTCTCTCTCCCTTGGTGCCTGGAGTCCTTGTGCCCCATTCGCTCGTGACCGACGCCCGTTCTGTGTTTCCGCATATTGGGCGTGGGGGGATCAGCTGTTGATGGGATGGCTGGAATGGTGGATATAGAATATGTGGAGGAAGGCAGGGGGTGGCTGCATTAGTGGTGGACAGGCCCGTTGAGACTGTTCGACTGTGCGGGAGCGGCTTGGGGGGGGGGGGGGGGGGGGGGGGGGGGGGGGGGGGAAGGGGGGGGGGGGGGTTTTTGTTCTTCTTCTTTCTTTTTCAAGGAGGGGTGAACCGCCATGAGCGGCAATGCATGCGGGTCTAGGGGGAGATTGTGGGAAAAGTGGAGGGGGTTGTGTGTCGCTCTGCAGATCCGTGATAAGGATGAAGTTTGGCTGAAGATAGGGCACTTGGAATTCATCCCGGGGCCGCCTCTGCCAGGTCTGTTCGGTGCTCCTCCATGGTTTCCATTGGATGTCCAGTTCGGCGTTCGTTTCACTGAACAGCCTGTAGGGCTCGTGCCATAGTTCTCTGTAGGAGTGCAGGATGGCCTGTTTGGCCTGGGGTTCATTTTCGGCTTTATAGTCCCTTCTCATTGTCCCCCATGCTTCTTGGGCCGTAGACCTAATAACATCTTCCATCGCTTGCTGAGGCTGTTGCAGGCCGAACTGGTGGTCTTTCCTCTCAAAGGAGCATCTTGCTCGCCAGGCCAGCATGAGGACGTGCAGCCTTGTGTAAGTGAATAGGTTGACTGCATACGTAGACCAGCGGGCGAATTTCCTGTCACGAACTCTAGAACTGAAAAGAAAAAAAATTGCTACCACCTCCAGAGGTGGTAGCAAAATGCCCTTCCCCAGGGCCCGCCAGGCCGCTGGCATTTGATACCCCGTTTGCTGCTTTTGCCACTTTCCCTGCCTCGTGCGACTGGCCCAACCAGCAAATTTTAGCTCTTTTGCCATAAACCTTTACAAAAGGCCCTATTGTGAGTAGGCTCTCAGAGTAGCTAAACATGCTGGTCTTCTTTGGTTGGTCACCTATGATGCTGTGCAAAACTGCTGCCATGCTTTCCGGTCAATGATGTAAAGGGAGTCCATTTTGTGCAGTTTGTCCAGCGGGATGTGTGGTGGAGTATCAGAAACACTTGTCGCTTGCATGTGTCAATGCAAAGACATTTTGGATCTTGTGGCATCGCTATGTAGCGTTTCCTGAGGACTGGGGTGATGTATGGACGAACGATGCTATAATTTTTCAGGACTCTAATGTAGTTGTGGATCTTCCCATCCACGAGCCTATGTTTTTGAGACACTGAGTGCTCTGACACTCTGGCATTTGTGGACACAACGGAATGATATCATTCGGGACGGTGATGCCCCTTTGTCAGATTATTTGTTTGGATTGGCAATTTAAAGAGTGTTGCAGAGGCTACAGCTTTACAAGCCCGAGTTTTGTGGTGGTTTAAACAGCCATGGGGTTCTTGTTCAGCTCTGGTGAGTCAGTGGTGACGATTGAAGTTTGTCGGCTCGCCAGAGTCATTTTAGAAGGATTCACAGTTGTATTGGAGGCATAACCTTCTGACCATTTTTTGCCTGATTTCTTGATTTTCGTTTTATTAGGATACATATCTGCTGTATGGCGGTTGCAGATTTCATTAGTCGAGGGGCTCTGCCAACTGCCGATGTAAAGGAGATAGAGCATTATCTAATACAATACAAAACACAATGATAGAAAGAATCTTGTAATAGATGCAATCTTAGAATAGTATGAATATTTGACATTGAAGAATATTCTATTAATACAACGATAAAAAGAATGTTGCAATAGATAAACCCTAAACCCTAATTAAAAACGAGAGAAAACTACGGCGCAGTCAGGGTTTGAGTTTGAAAATGCACTTGTCGAGGAAAAAGGGCCGGTAATGTTGAATGTATACAACCTAGATTTCGGGTCCGGTGAGGTCACATGGGGGTGTGTTGTGTTCGCGGGATTGCCTGAAGTGCATTTTCAAACTGTTTTCGTGACTGCGCCAAAGTTACTACCCCTTTAAGAAAATAATAATAAAAAAAAATTATATCCACCTACTCTCATCCAAAAGATGTTATTAGTCAGGAAGGATGCATAACTGCAGGCCGGCGCAAACGAAACCATGCAAGATCCAGACCTTAAAGCAGGAGTCTGAGGAAGAACGGTTGGGGAGGAAAAGGACAGGGGCAGACTTGGAAGATGACACCATCAAGTGGAACAACTGGAGACATGCGGAGGGAAACTGGACTGGAGTTATAAACAAGATCCTACCCACTTCTATTTCCCTCCCTCTCCAACACCACCGGCCTTCATCCTCCCTCCCCTCTTCCCCATCCCGTCGCTCCCCTGGAAGCCAAGCATCTCAGCCGTCAAGTCAGGCAGCGTCTACCCTACACAGCCTCCACAGGCCTGATCAGTGGGTGGATGTAGGCAAAGCGGACAGCAACGGGCAAGACATCAAGAGGGTGACCTAAAGTGATGTCACAGCAGTCTACCCACTTCGATTTCCCTCCCTCTTTAACACCACCGGCCTTAATCCCCCTCCCATCCGGCCCATTACAGCAGTACGGGAGGGAAGAATGACTCCCTGTGCACCGAAGTGAACGCAACACAAGAGTATGGCAACGGCCATCCCGCGGCAAGGAGTAGCAGATGTCGAATTAGAACAGAGACGGTCCTAAGGTACAGCAGGGACATCCGGCCGGGGACAATTTGCTGTCGGACAAAGGCAACCTGTTATGCAACTCGGGGGGCAGACCCCTTGGACTGACTGTTGTCATGTCTATGGGACGCTGGGCCCGGTTCCAAGGCATGTGGTTGTTTGATGGGACGTGGGTATGGTAGCCTCTCCCTCCAAAAGAAAACAAGAAAAAGAAGAGAAAGGCTATGCAGTATCCCAGCATGTGGAGGCTCGCATGAACTCCGCCAGCCGGCCGTGGAGTGAGTAATTATTGCAGACATCAACATTGGCAGTGTGTCATGTCATGTCACAAGCTGTCCCGCTCTCGACCACTTGGAGTTCCCTTTTCGTGACCGCGAACCATAATCCGAACTAAAACGCGAACCTCCGGCATGTGGGACACTTTGGCTTGCAATGACCCTGATAGTGCGGTTCCATCATTCTCTGCAAGTTCATCAGCCCCTGCGCTGAGTTACCTGAGTATACAAAACGAACCCTCTCTCTCTCTCTCTCTCTCTCTCTCTCTCTCTCTCTCTCTCTCTCTCTCTCTCTCTCTCTCTCTCTCTCTCTCTCTCTCTCTCTCTC